GTACTTGCTGCCTCTCCTTACTGTTTTTTTTGTTCTGGAAAGCTACAGTCTATGTGACAGCAATGATCTACCACTGTGCGAAGCCTACTGGAGGGAAGACTTTGACACGCTGTCTCCTGAAAGCCTCTCCATGCCTCTGACAACTGCCACAGCAGAGCAGAGTGTTGCTACCTCTCAGAGCTCAACCCCATCACACCCCCACGTGAACGGGCATGGGGCAGGCCCGACAGACCACTCCTGAAGAGGATTCTCTGCTGCTGGACACATTCCTCCTGGTGGCACTGAAGAAGTCTTCCACCTGCTGTGCTGAGCAAGCATCTCCCCATCGGGACAATGCACTGGAGCTGTATTTGCAGGTTTCTGCTCACTGGATAGCCACAGTGCTTTCTCCATGCCTGGGACATTGCCATGAGTATTCCTCTCACTTAAAGTGATAAGTGAATACAAAGCTGATTATTCTAACAACTTAGAGGTAAGTTTGGTTTTCCATGACAGTTACATGTGGAGTTGAGTAGAAAACTAGTGTTTGTTTCCATTTGAATTTCACAATAAGTATATTGTGGAGTGCTGGTAGTTGAATTTGGTTGGTTTAGAAAACTTGAGCCAAATCTGAGGATAGTAACTGTTCTGGGCCTCTTTACTCAATTTCTTACGTTTAGTGATGTTCTGGCTGCTTTAAAGCTTTCTCAGGATGCCATCAGACAGCCTGTAACACTTAAGTAGGAATCCTGCAGTATTTTTCACTCAGTATTCTTCACTGTCAAGTGCTTCACAAACTTGAACTTTTTGCTGTGAATCTTTTAAGAGGAAGCTCTCCAGGAGACCTGTATTGAAAAGCAGTGTTATTCCTTTTGGGAAGCAGAAGGCAAACAGAATCAGACTGAGGTGTTAATAATGTGACTTGCTGAAGGCTACGGATAGAAGCATGAGCACACTTTGATTAGGCTGATTCCAATGGTTACACAAAGCTTTCTATTAACATAGCTTGAACTAATGTTTATATTCTTGAACAGCTTCATCTAATGAAATTTTGGACAACTTAGGTGTGTGGAACAGAGGGGGTTGCTCAGTTTCCTTCCAAATAATCTTGGTGCTGTGTCTGCAGCTGTTGGGCAGCGTGGTTTTTCTGCCCTTTATCTCTGCAGTTGTTCTGAGTTGACCCTAAGAGCGCATTGTAGGGAATAGAGTTGGGCTGAAATGTGGCTATGGCAGCTGTATTACCAACAGACAGTTCAGTAGAGCTTCCCCAGCATTCTGCCGTAATGTCTTGTTTGTGAGAATGTGAGTTTGGTGTACTTTCTGTTCTACTTTCCTTCCATTCCATTATTTTTTTCCTTTTTGTAATTAGGTGGTTTAATAAATAACTCTTTAATATCACTGAATTGTGTGGTTTTTAGCTGCAACTTTTTCTGACAGCGTGAAGCACAAATGGGTGCTAGGATGAGCGTTCCTGTATGGCCTGAAGAAAATCGCCACTCTTGCAGTTTGTGCTGTACATGCTCTCCTATTCACCCTGCAAAGCATCATAAACCTGGAACAGCACCAAAGCTTCTGGGAGAGCAGCTGTCTGGGAAGCACCCGTAGCGTTTCCCCAAACTGAGGGCTGCGGCTCCCCAAGCCTACAGGCAGACGGGGGAGCCGGGTTGGGCGGCCTTCCGCAAGCAGCGGGACGGCAGCAGCAAGATGGCGGCCCTGCGCTGAGGCTTCGCGCCTCGTCGCGCGGATATGACGTCACTTCCGGTGAAGCGTTAATTACTTCCGGTTCGCTCACATTACTTCCGGTGCTGTGCGCGGCGGTTGGGCTCCTTCCGTCGCCGCGCTTCTCTCGGGGCCGCCCGCTGCGAGTAGCGGCGATGTCCAGCCTGGCCGCTCAGGACGCCTACCTGCAAGGCTTGGCGAGGAAGGTCTGCGCGCAGAACGCCCCGGAATCGCGGAAGAGGAAGTTCGGTAAGGCTGCGACTCTCTCCTGTGTGGGAACGTGGGCCTGCGGCGTGTCTGCCTCCGCCGGGTGATGGTGTGTGTTGGTTTGTGGTGGTTTTAAGCAAAACCTGTGATACGGGGTTTCTTCGCTCGAAGTTAGCGTTCTCATCCATCCTTACACGTGTGAGGATGGCACGCAAGTGAATGCGGTTATTGCTAAAATGGCTGAGCACGTCTGGCTCTGCTTGGATAACTCTTCAAGGTTCTTAAGCACCACTACGATGTTGTGCAGCGTGGTTGTACCTCAGTACTCTGCTGTACCTGGATGTTATTGATGGGGGCGATGTCCTGGTTTGTATATTTTTTCCTTTGCCTCCTAGTATTGAAGCCAGGCCAGCCAGATGATGCTGGCAGGCAGCTCAAGAAAAAGAAGAGAAGGAAGTCCAGGAAGCAAGCTGAGAAGACAAATTCTCCTGCAGTTAAACAAGAGGTGTCTAACACTAATAAACTTGCTCCAGGACAGAAAGCAGCCCCACAGGCCAAGAAATCACCTCCAGTGGGTGTTAAGCAGAACAAAAATGAGAATTCTGTTACGGGTAAGAATAGCAGAATTGTCTGTGGTTAAAGTGAGCTGAGGCGGCCACATTTCAGCTGGTTCACATGCCTATCGTTTGGAAACCATTTAAGAAATCCAGTTCAATTGAAAACACTTGAGTTTATTCCATGTACATAAGTATGCAGTGTGACCGCTGGGGGGCTCTCTAGAAGTATGAGCACTTCATATGAATTGCTGTTTTTGTTTTTGTTTTTTTAATGGGTTTTATTTCATGAGTGCATATATGTCATGTCCTCTTTTCATTATAAATAAGGAAACTCTGATCACAAGCTGAGTGGAAAGATGTATTTGGCATCTTTGTTTCCATTGGTGTTTACCCCCTTTTTGTTTGGGAACTACAGGGCATATCACAGGCCACCCTGGGCTGGCAGTGGTTGAATGATGATGTGGATAGAAAAAGGAGAATTCTGAAGAAACCAACAAAAATAGAAGCTCTTGAGTTCTTTAGAATTTCGTTTCATCCTTTCGTAACACCTAAAGAACTCTCATAGCTTTTCCCATAGCTATAGAAAATTCTTCAGTGTAGCTAGTGCTGTATTTTAAGTATTTTTCTTTTCTTCCTCATTTTCAGGTGCCAAAAGTGAACTTGGTTCCACTTCTTTCTCTGCAATAAATCTCTTGCGTCAGAGACTTCATGAGAAGATTAAAGAAGCTTCTGGGCGGGTATGAGAACCCCATGTACCCTACTGTGCATGTGGGTATGGTGTGAATCATCCCTAAGTCACCACATGCCTTGGGAGCTGTGATGTTCCAAGGTTTAGGGCTGGAGATAATTCCATTCCCTAAGGAATAACAAGGAATCCTGTTTATTTTCTGGGGTCCAGAAAAATGCATGTGAAAAGGTAGGGGCTGGAGGAGTGCAGAAAAGGCACTGGAAATCTGCAAGGGGAGTGTAAGTACAGGATTCTCGGTGAGAGTGAAAGGCTTGAAGTGCATTTACCATCTGCATTTGGTGTCTGAAAGCTGAGCTGGTTGCTTCTTAAATACTTCATTTCTAGGGAAAAGTTTGAAATCAGGACCTTAAGCACATCCCACTTTTATCTCTGTGTTATCTCCTGATTCATATCTGCCCTTTTTAGGATGATACCAAAGAATTGCCTCCTTCAGTCCTGGAGAAGAGGCGGCGAAGAAAGTATGAAAAAGAGAGAAAGAAGCGCAAAAGAAAGGAGTTGAAGATGAAGGCAAAAGCAGTGAAGGAAGAAACTGAGGAGGTACCTATAGAGCCACAAAGCAAAAAGGAAGAGAGCAAAGCTGAGATTGTCTTCAACAGGATCAAAGTGCATGAAGAGAATGAGCTGAACAAGATCCAGAAGAAGAAAGAGAAGAGGAAAGGAGTGAAGGGGAAAATCACTCCTCTGACAGGTAGGAATTACAAGCAGCTGCTGAGCAGGCTGGAGATGCGGAAGAATAAGCTGGAGGAGCTCAAGGAAAAGGACCAGAAGAAAGCTCAGGATCTGGAGATGAAAATGAAATGGACAAACGTTCTGTATAAGGCAGAAGGTGTGAAGATCCATGACGATGAGGAGCGCCTGAAGGAGGCTCTGAAGCGCAAAGAGAAGCGGAAAGCACAGCGCCAAAAGCAGTGGGAGAAGAGAACAGAAAAAGTGGTAGAAAGGATGCAGCAGCGGCAGGAGAAGCGCCGCAAGAACATTCAGAAGAAGAAGAAGGAGAAAATTGAGCAGAAAAAAGCCAAGGCCCGGAAGAAAGGTCGTGTTCTGCCAGAGGACTTGAAAAAAGCTGGCTTGTAGTGGCCCAGGAGGCAGCTGGACTTGTGTCCTGGCCGTGTAAGCTGCAGTTAAAGGCAGCTGATGGGATTCTTGTGGCAGTCTTTAATGGGGCTATTCCAGCACATCAGCTTGCAGCTGTCCCAGCCTGGAATTGAGGTCTGGGGGTGTCACTGTCACCTCTCCCCAAGTCAATAATAAAAAAAAAAAACAACCTGCAGCTACTCGTGTGTGTTTGCTGATTAGTTTTCCTGTCCTGCTGAAGCACTGTTTCTAAATAATTCGTTGCTCGAGGCGTTCGCTGCACCCGGGGCTCTTTAAGGCGGTGGAGCTCCGCGTTCCGACCCGGATGTGCGGGAGCGTCCCGCGCTGCCATGGCAACGAGGCGGCTGTTGGCCACGCCCCCTGGCGTTGCTATGGCAACGGGCGATGCGTCGGGCCGTGCCGGGAGGCCGCTGTGATGCTGCGGGAATGAATGGCAGCTGCGGCGGTGCGCGGCCGGGGGGGGGCGGTACGCGTGGTTCCCAACGGCGAAATCTACCTGCAGCTCTTCGAGGACGAGGTAAAACACATAGAAACGGGCAATAGGTGGATGGGTTCGTTGTGCTGCTCTGCTGTTGGGCTTGCTTTAGCAGAAAAGTGTAAGCCTGCAGTGAGCCCGGCTGGGGCGTTCCGGAGTGCTGCCTGCAGCCGTGCACGAGGCACTGCTTCAGTTCCCTTCATAGGGAGATCACTTTCAGATGGGGGGGGGGGGGGAGAAAAAAACCTCCTGGATGAAACTTCATACATACGCTTTATTTTATTTTGCTGTTCTGTTCTGCCGCCTTTCCCGTCTCTTAGCAATTAATTTGATTCTCTGCTCAGTAGGTTTGGAGATGATTCCAACCCGTTTTGCTGTGGGTTTTGCAGGCTTGCTGGGTGCGATCGCTGGGCGCAGCAAGGAGTGGGAGGCTCCGTGTGCACGAGGAGCCGGGCAGCATGGCTGCTGCGAGGCTGTGGCTGTGCAATGGGAAGAAGGGGACTGCAGGAGCAAAGCCGCTGCAGGGCAGGTAGAGAGCAGAAGCAGAAATTCCTGATTGCACGTCGGTGTGATTCTGTGGCTATGGGTGTGAAGCTGTAATGCTGGGAACCTTGTTTTTTGGTCACGGCGCTTGTGACAGTCTACCTCCTTTCCCTCAGATGTGAAACGAGTGCACTGAGCTGCTGCCTCTTAAAGCACAGATTCTCAGCTCATCGTTAAGGCTGGAAACTGCCACTAAGAGCATCTAGTCCAACCATCAGCCCATCAAATGTCTGTAATGATTTACGTGTGCGTGACTTTTCTTTTAAAAGGCTCTTGGATGATTATTTTGTTGTTCAAAACCACCTAGCTGTAAGCCTGTATTCCTGATACCACCTGATACATGCAACTCTAGCAGAAATGCCAGGTCAGGGCTTGAAGCAGTGATTGAGCACCTGGTGGGAAGCAGGGCCAACTCAGGGCAGCTCAGGTGTATTCAGTGCACTGAGTGACCAGAAGGGCTGGAGCCAGGATCCACCCCTGCCCAGACCTCATGTAAGGGTTGGCAGTGGAGGTGAGGATTTCTTGCTGGAGATCCCTGTGCACTGAGGCCTTCTGAAGGCAAGCAGCTTCTTTCCTTTATTTTTGTGCCCATGCCTGTTGCATTTGAGTAAATTCTCTCATGCTCCAGCCTGGGACCTTTCTGCTTTGCTGTCATTGCTGTGCTTAACAGTAATACAGTAAAATATACTATTTTATATTTTATGCTCCTTTAATGGTCTTAAATGACTATGCAATTATATTGTTACTCTTAACTAGATTAGTTTCCCATATGTTTGGGAACTGTTTCCTTCAGTTTAGTCTACTTGAGTTTTGTATTAGTGGGGACAGGTACTTTGCAGCAGTAGTACTGCTCAGCTCTACTCTGAGCAATGTTCAGAAGCAAGAAAGTAAATTAATGCCTTCATCCTCTACACCATAACCCTCGTGCTGAATAAGCACACCCTCATTCCCCAGTTCTCCCAAGTAGAAGCACAGCACCCTGATAGGGAGAGTGGGGGGGCAGGTAAAAGCCATTTCCTTCCATTTGAGAAGCAATGCCATTAATTCTATGAGCCATATTCTTTGAAGCCAGAAGCTTTCATTCACTTTAACGTTACATTTCGCCAGATAAGTGGATTATGGTGCTAATTACAAACCTGTGGTCTCAGTACAAAGCGAGGCTCTATGTTCTGTTTCAGAGAAGCTACAGCATCTCAGGCGTCCTGCAAAAGTGAAGATGTCATTGCAGCTGAGGAAGTCAGAGCCCTCCCTGATCTTGTTGGTAAAATCTATTTCCCTTAATGTCCAATAGTTTCATTTTGAGGAGCCCCCATATGTATAACATCTTGAGCTGGATAAGGTATAATATCGAGTTCAGAAACGATCTGATGTGTTTTATAATGATTTGTATGTAACTCTGGCAATGAAGAGTCTGCGTGTAGGGAAGAAAAAGAAGTGAAATTGTCCATCAATTCCAATTTGTGTTCAGAAGGTAGTGATGATATAAGCAGATTTAACTCGTGGGAGCTGCTGTTTTCCAGCATCACGCCAAATGGCAGAGCTCAGAGCTTTGATTTAGCAATTTCTTGTTCCAAACGGCTCTAAGTTCCATTGTCCTCATTTTCTTCTCAGAGGTTGCAGAGGAAAGCAGGCAAAACCTCTTGGAGCTCGTGTCAGAACGCCGGCGCAGCCGCCACGATGCAGCACTGACCTCAATGCACCACGAGCTTGCTCGTGTCTCCAGGGTGAGGCTGGGGTTGGCAGTGCAGACAGTCTGGAACAGCAGGCAAAGCTGAGAGCCTGATGTTCAGGAGATGGGGCTGACTTCTTTACTGCTTTCAGGAAATGGAGCCCTTTGTTTTGGAGCCTGGAAAACTGCTTTTGACGAAACTGATGGAATCTGATAGAAAAATGGAGGTTCTTCTAACAAAGATGGAGCTCAAGGGCACTCCTGAAGGCTTTTCTATTGAGGTAAGGCAGCTCTTGCCACTGTCAGCTCTTCCACTGTTGATTCCTGTTGTTCACAGTCTGCTCTGCAGCGCAGCAAAGCACCTTGCTGCAGTTTTCTGATGTCAATGCATTTGTTTTCATTTTTTCACTGCATTTGTTTTTCAATGCATTTGTTTTTCATTTTTTTCCTTCTTGCAGGATTTGGAAGAACTGTGGGCAACCATTCAGCAGGAATCCCTGACCAGAAAGGAGTGGATTCGGGAATGGGATGAAACCTTAAAGAAGGTGGAACAGAGCCGAGCTGACAAAGTGAGCTCAGATTTTCAGGAATTGCAGGCACCAGAAAGAAATCAGTCAAATAGTAACAAAACCGATTGATTTCTGGTTATTTTTATGAATTGGTATCTAATAATTTAGAATCAATATTTTAATATTTACTTCTCGATCTGTCAACCAATTAAATGTATTCGGGGGAAAAAAAAACCCAATTCTTATTAATATCATTGAAGTGTCAGTTCTCTAAGGCAAGCAGAGCCCTTTGTGCCTTTTTGTTCTGTTGAACAGATAACAGACGTGCTGAGGAAGTATGCTGCAAAGCTGGAGGGAATTTCCTTCTTCTTGTCAGCCGATGTGCACAGGCTCATTAATGACGAGGCCATGGTAAGCTCTCCTTATTGGGAGGCAGTTTTACCTGTAAGAAGACAGCGGTCTGAAATTCACCCCCCAGAATTCAGTTCTTTCTTCTTCTCATTTTCAAAAGGAAATGATCATTTCTACCTGCCAATCCCTGCCATGTAGGAGAGGGGTCTCTATACTGCATGTCCCTCGTCATTTCAGTTCTTCATCCTCAGTCTGACATCGAGCTGGCACTTTATTCCTGTCTTATACTGCTTTTACTCCCATCTTTGTTTTCATATGCAGATGATTAACAGAGCGTTGTTGGCGAATCAGAGGGCAATAGCCAAGCTGTTCTTTAATCTGATGAAATCAGAGATGAAAAGGGAATTATCACTTCAATGGAAGTGGCGAGATAAAGTCAAGGACTGGAGGCTCATCCAAAAGAACCGCATCGTTCAGAGCTTCAGGTCTGAAGTTTGACAGCAGGTCACATTTTGAAGCATGAAGTGACTGGTGTTCTTTCATGTTTTCTCCAAGAAGTAGTATTTTAATATTTTTCCCCAATGAAACTAAAAATTTAGTGTTTTTGTTTTCAACCAGTACTCATAAGATGTATTTTGTGTTTCTGTTTCAAGCATTCAGTTCTTCCCAACACAAAATCACATCAGCGCGTTCTTCCATCCTACTCACATCCTATTTCCATCTCCTATCCAGAGAATTTATGGCAAAGGAAGAAATACAGAATCCCCAAACGGTGGAAACAGAAAAGGGAAATATGATGAACGGTCAGATTCTGCTTAATGAACAGAGGCTGGAATGGCTGCAGCATCTAATGTATGACTGAAGGGAGTACAGTAACAAAAGTAGAATTCTTGGTGTGCTCAATGAGGGACTGGTGGTGGCAACCCTGCCCATGACTGGAAATGGAGCTGGGTGGCCTCTAAGGACCCTTCCAACCCAAGCCATCCTTGTTAGTCTTTGATGTGCTGAATGTTCTTTGCTGCACCTCAATGTGCTGTTGTCCAATGCAGCATTGAGCAGGGCTTAAATCTCTTCCATAAAGCTCTTTTTAATGGGGAAAAAAAGAACAACTATGTTTTGGTTTTCAGTGCACGTGTTGCACTACCAAGGATTATCTAGGCTGCATTATCTAGGGTGAGAAATGCAGCAACACCGAAGTAAGCCTTACTGATGTATGAAGCCTAGTAGGAAGAGGTGGACATGGATGGATGAACATGTAAAAATGGATGATGCTGTCCAATTTCTGGGCGGGAGACTGATTTGTGTAATGTGTGAAGAAATGAATGTTGGAAGGAATCTTATTCTGCTGCTTTTGAATTCTGTCCATTCTGACAAAAATAAGATGGGTTGGGTGCAACACTGTGATTTTCGGATGCAGTTTTTCTTTTATAACAGACGCAGGAAAAAATGGGGGTTTAATTCCTTGTTGGTAAACAGACGCCTTGAAAAACAGCATCCATCTTGTTTTATTTTTGTTGCTGAAATGGCTGTAAATAAAGCAGAGTAGCCTGGTTATGCTGATTTATAGTGTTTATCCTTTAACAACTGACTGGGTTATCTCTGAAGAGATCTGATATATTGTTTCCTATTTTGATAGTGATCTGTTGCCTCCAAAGAGCACACGAGCTGAGATTGATGAGTGGTACAACTCCTTGGTGGATTTAAACAGAAGTATAGGTATGTTGGGAAATCAGCAAACCAATCTGGAATCCAAGCAGTTCTTTCTGTTGTCTTTTTTTTCTTTTCCCTCTCAGCAACGAGATGAGTGCTTTGAAAGTATGTTTGCTGTGTTCTGTGAAATAGCAAAGTGCTGGCGATGCTCTGTTTTGCAGATGCCCACAATATGCAGTGCACAATGAAAATTCGTGCCCAGTATGAGAGTGTCCAGCAAAAATGTTTGGCAGAAGCAGAGCTGTGCAAGGTCAGTACCACAGCGCTGTGAAGTCCTGGAAGGGTTCTTGGTAACAGTATGCAGTGTGTTGTTGCTGTGGGTTTGGGGATTGAGATAAGAAGGTAAATTCATATGATTCTATGATAAATTAGATCCAACCGGTGCTTTATTCTGCTAGAATAGCTGCTGTCCATTTCATTTCATGGTAGCATTAGTGCTTGAAATGCATAGAGGCAATAACAACTACCAGTGATGAAGGAAGTGATTAGGTAGAGGGCTCAGGGTCAGAACCCTCAGTCTTATCCTCAATCTCATCTTGGGGAGAAAACATCACCCCCTCAGCTCTGTCCCCATGTCTGAACTGAGTTGTTCTGCTTGCTTCTGGGATCTGGGAGGCTGAATCTTTGCTTCACAAAACGTGTTGAATAAACTGAATACTGAAGCTGTAGGAAGTACAGATCATTTTAGCCCATGTTCGTTTTCTTAAAGCCACATGATGTTGTGTTAGATTGTATGTATGTCAATAACTTTTTTTTGTTGTTCAGATTAACCTGTTGAATCTGAAGGTATGCACACAAAAAGAGGCTGAAGAAGTGGTGGCTTCTGACTTGCTTCTGTTGACTGAGAAACTGCGTTGTTGCTTTGAAGAAGAACTGGAGCATCTGGTTGTATGTTTATTACATCTACTCTTATTCCTCATCAGGAATAGCCTGTTATTCATGTGCCATGGTCTGAAACGCTGAGTGCATCTTAGGCTATTGGTGCCTTGCTGTAGAGTGATTGAGTACCTGTCCCATAAGTAACACAGGCAGGATGTGATTCAAGGGAAGAGTTTATGACTGATGGTTTTGTAATAGATTGTCAGGGATTGGATGGCTATAGCCCATCTGGCCTGGAGGTGGAAGGATGGGTTCCCAAACTTCTTCCACTCCTATCCTGTATGGTCCCATACGTGGTGGTGGCTGAGTGATTGCTCCTAAGATAAAGGATGGCAAAGTGCTTCTGGGGTTGTGCAGGTCTTGGTGGTTCTGTGCTTTACGGTTCCAGAAGAATAAAGAGAAGGTTTGATGGCTCAGCTTCTGAAACTGAAGTCCATATTCTTATCTATTTTACCTGGACTGTTTTTTCCTCTCACAGTAGAAGAGACTCTGTTGAATGCTGATCACCTTTTATCACATCATTTGTCCCCTTACTCTTGTATTTCACCTTCTTGCCCACAGTTTTGTAATAACTGGGATGTATTTTTTTAGAGAGGCTTTGAAGAGGTGGCTAAGCACAATGAGCAGAACTGCAGAGACCTGTACAGCTACTGTCAGGAGGCCAATGTTCTGTGGGACTTCCATCAGCTCAAACTGTCCCAGCAGGAAGGTGAACTGCAGAAGAAATTAAAGGAATCCAAATGGAAACAGGATAAATCCATTCAGGTATTATAAGCATAAAAATAAGGATACGGTATGATGTAAAGAAAGGACTTAATGCAGAGGAGCCTTTGGAATTCAAAATGCCTGGCATAAAAATGTAATAACTGATTTTATACTGGATTTCCTACACGTTACTTTCATGCTATCAAATATGCTTTTGGCTTTGTTCCAGTAATTAATTTATCCTTTAAGCCTAAATAGCTATGAAGCGTGTTTAGTAAGAACCCACTTTTACTGGGTTCTTTGTATTGGTTTCAGAGGATGGAAACTAACCTGGATATCATTTTGGATAAAATGAGAACAGCGAGCTCTGAGAAGAAGCTGAAGAAATCTTTGGAGAATGCCTGTTCTTGTTTGGATGGCATCAGAGCTGGGTATGGATTTTGTAGTGCAAACTTAACTGGTGTATGTGAAAGCTGTGTTTATGCTGTAGTATCATGGTGTGGAAATACACTGCCCTGTGCTCATAAGGACATGAAGTGAAACAGTTTCCATATTGAGCAATGTTAAGGCGAGCAGTACCTATGTGTAAGAATCACATCAAATCAGGCATATACAGCTCTACATGCTGGAGATTTTACCCAAAGACAGACTGAGCAGCTGGAGAGGGTGCAGTCATATCTTCACACCCAGATGGTCTTTCCTCTTGCTCAGATCTGATGTAGCCACGAGGACCTGAGAGGCAGATCCCTATGAACACACCTCACACCGAAACTGCTTCTGAAGCTGTTGGTTCAGCACTCTTTATTTCCATTAAGACCATTAAAATCCACCAAACAAAAGCAAAACACCTTCCAACGTTAGTAAGGACATCATGAGAGGTGGTGGCTTTTGCTCACTGATGTCTTTATACTGAATTAATCCCTTACTAACGAGCCAGGATGTAATGTGTTCAGGAATAGTAGAATAATTGATCCCAGCCTGAAGCACTTAAGACATTTTGATCAAAAACTTTTGGATTTAAGGACACAGTAGTCATATTTCACTTTATTTTTGTACATATTTAAGTCTCTTAAAAGACAGCTTTGAATTTAACAGGTATGAAGCATCCAACAAAGTTCTTATGGAGAAAGTCACGAGTTACCCAGAAGCCATTTTACAGGAACTGATTTCTTACAGTGAATCCCTCAGCCAATACTTTAATGTAAAAGAAACCTTCAAACAGGTATGAAGAAGACAAACTTGTTTTGAAGTCTCCCAGGCACATTAATTTCTTTAAGACTATTGTAGCTTGATAAAGTAGATCTATTTTGCAAAAGAACCTGCATCTCTTATAAGCAAGACTTTAGAATTGTCCTGTTGTTGTTCTTTCTAGAACTTGGAAGGAAAGATAGACTCCACATTTCCAGGTCGAGGTAATACCTTCATAGTACAAATAGGCCTTCTGCTTGCTTGTTTTTCATCTGTATTTCTCTGGATTGTGGTCGCTAAAACTCTGCTTTCACTGGAAATGATTAGATGAGGTTTTGGATGCTGAAAATCAGGGGGAGCAGCAAACTGAGAACGTTCTGCAGGAAAATGAAGAAAAGCAAAAGGCTGAGAGCTCTCAGCAACAGAATGAAGAAACAGATATTCCTGAGAACGAGGAGGTCTTTGCACAGGAAAGTGAAGAAGGGGAGGAACAAGAAGACAAGAGCATTTTTCAAGGGAGTGATGAAGCAGGGGACACAGAACAGAGGATGAGCATTTCACAAGTGAGCAAACGAGAATGAATGTATTTGAAAGTGACGGAAGGTTTTTGCAAACTCATAGCAAATAGAAGGTCGTCTTCTTGCTGAAGTCTCTTGAATTCCTTAGCATGTATTTAATTTGTACATAGAGCATGTGTCCATGATTATTAAACAGTATTTCTGCACCATAAGGATTTTCAATGTTGCTTCTAGCTGAAGGGCATAAAACAGTTCATAACCATTCCTTATTGTGGCAGAAATGCTAAGTCAGGGCTTGAAGCAGTGATTGAGCACCTGGTGGGAAGGCAGGGCCAACCCAGGGCAGCTCAGGTGTATGCAATGCACTGAGTGACCAGAAGGGCTGGAGCCAGGATCCACCCCTGCCCAGACCTCATGTAAGGGTTGGCAGTGGAGGTGAGGATTTCTTGCTGGAGATCCCTGCATACCTGAGGCCTTTTGAAAGTAAGCAGCTTCTTTCCTTTATTTCTGTGCCCACTGCTGTTGCAGTGAATCCCCACTTGTTGCAGCCTTGCTGCTCTGCTGTTGTTGCTGCACTTTCCATCGTTACACTCATACACTGCTTTAATCCTTGTAAAAACATGTGGCAGCTTTAGCATGTGTGTCTGTCTTTCTTCCTGGTTATTCTTAACCTAAGAATGATGTCAGAATGATGACTGAATGATGTCAGATCTGTTTGTATCTCAGTGTTACGTTTTCAGGTCTTTAGTCCCATTAATTCCATTTATTAGCATAACAAAAGCCTTTTAAAGTATTTATCCTGCCTGTTCAAACTTACAAACACATTCTCTGTGCGAGTTTGTCCAAATTTGGGATCAGAATGTTGTCCCTAATGACCACAGGTTCCTGCTAGTGCACTGTTGATTATTCACTTAATTTAATGTAGCATTGTTTGAGGCAATGGATGATGATTCCCAGTTGTTTCCTAGGATACGTTCAACAGCAGCAGGGTGGAAATCTCTGAATTCACTGTTGAGACCTTTTCCACTTCCAGTGGAAACACCTACACTGTTCTTGGAGCTGAAGAGGCAGGGAAACCTGATGTCCTGGAGTCATTTCTTACAAAATATGATGAAAAAGGATCCCTTCCTATGTGCTTGGAACATGCAGTTATCAAAGAAACGGTGTTTGTGGAGCTGAAGAAAAGGTTAGTAGGAAACTGTTTGTTTTCCCTTTAGGAAATAGAAACATTTCAGCTGTATGGGAGAGATGTCAAAATAAGTATGCAAAAATTATCTGAGTATTTTGGTGTTATTCCTTTTTTAATTGGTAAAAAGAAAATAAACTTTCAGCAACACTCTTCACACATGGCTCCTGGATGAACCACACAAGCATTTCCCTCTTGCAGAACATTCCTATGTTAGAGAAAATTCAGTGAGTGAACAGGAATAGTGACAGAGCATTTTAATAGCAAGTCAGGCTATTTCAGTATTATAGATATGTAAAATACATACGTGTATTGTTTATAGCAGTAGACAAAATGAGCAGTGCTAGCATTGTGCAAGTGTTTGTGAGACCACATCTTCCTGTAGCCAGAGTTAATTTCTTACATTTAACAGGTAGAGTGCATTTCTGTTTATTTCCTACAGTGAGGAACACTGAGTATGTATTTAAATCATAGGATTCGCCTCTCCTTCTTTGAACACTTGGAGAAGTGGTTTGCAGAGTCCTTATCCAACTCATGGGCCACTGTAGATGCCAAGAAAGAAGAGCTGGGTTCAGAACTTCAGCAGCATCTTCTCTCGTGTGAACTGAGGCGGGAGAATATAGAGACAAATATCTCCAATGTCAGAGCTGGTAGCTACCTCTTCACTCTGAACGCTCTCTGTCTTCATCTTGAGATGATCATATGGGGGGAAAAAGTGAACAAGTGCTGGGAGAGACAAAATGCTGGGGGTGGCTTCAGAGTACAGGAGGTGGAGGAATTACCAGTGTGAAATACCACTGTGCAGCCACAGATGGGTCACTAATGGGAAATATTATGTGAGGAGCATCAAGGATATGGGGGGGCCCCCCCGCCCCCCCGAAATGTGATTTAAGGCAGGTTTGTTGGTCTTTAGCCAACTGTGAAGAAGCCTTTTTGAGGAGGACAGGAAAATAGATCATAAACCAACAACAGGAGAAAAGTCAAAGAGTTGGGACTACTTTATTAGTAGCTTTAAGCTCCTCTGAGCTCCAGTTTTTGTTTCACTGATGCTTCTGGTAATGGTGGTCATGGCAGCCCATACCAAACAGAATAATGACTGTATTGTAAGTCGTCTTTTCTCATCAGCTGAACTGTTACTTCATGAAAAGCACCTGGAGTGCCACTGTGATGAGGTGGAAGAAGCTCTGAAGAAGGAGAGAGCTGAATTCCTCAGATTTTGCGATCAGCAAAATGACAGCATCCAAAACTTGGACTCTCGGATCCGTGACATGGAATCAGCATTCCTCAGGTCTCCTGTGGCTGAGAGGTCAGTGTGCCAGCAGCAGAGCCGGTCTGCCTGCTCATGGCATTGTTCTGAGCCCCTTCTGTCTGTCACAGAAATGGAAATGATTTTTGTTCCCTTTCTCTCTGCACGGGTTACTTTTTTCATATACTTTTGAAGGAACACCAATCTTAAAGTAGATTACATGTTTGATTTACTTAGACTTTATCCAGCTTACTGAATCTGATAAGTAATAGGCTAATTGGCTTTGAAGGATGCTCTGTAACTGCAGCAGCTGCTTGCTGGTGTGTGCTGAGTGTTATCAAAACAACCACCATTGGGTTAGTTGTTGTCATAACAGTGAAATACTTCTGCGTTCTCAGATCTTATTGATCTCATAAAGCCAGGAGTCTCCACACCATCCTGCTTGCTCCTCCTCCTACACGTTTTCTCTGCCTTCTCCTGCTCTCTGTAGGTTAGCTTCCTCCAGCAGCAGTGTGTGCCCAGACCTCCTTCATTACCTGGATGTCATCCGAGTTTCCCTGAGGAGTTATCAGAACTATCTGGAGGAAAACTTGGGAAAATTAAGAGATTCAAATGTGGATTTTCTCAAAGGCTGCAGGTATAGAGATATTGCTGGAGGAATGTTATCTGTACCTGGGAATCATCACTTGGTCTGTTGGCAGAACAGTAAAATTAGGGTTTCTTTGTTACTCACCTGGTTATCTGTACGTTCCTCTAAAGAACATCAGTTGCTAAGCCATAGTTGCTGCACTCTTTTCATCACGTCTGTTTTGATATCTGTGAAGTAGGACTGCTCAGCTACCATAAGAAAAAAAAGGAAAACTTCTCCAAAAGAGCAGTGATGTGTTGGGCTGCCCAGGGAGGTGGTGGGGTCGGTGTCCATAGAGGTGTTCCAGAGCCATGGAGATGCTGTACTGAGGGATGTGGTCAGTGTGGAAATACTGGTGGTAGACAGACAGTTGGACTGGAGGATCCCAGAGGTTTTTTCCAGCCTTGATGGATCTATGATGAGTGATGGCTTTTCCTTTGCTGGCTGCTTTCAGGTTATTCGTGGAGGGAGGCAATTTTTCTCCTGAGGAGGCGCAGTCTTTCAGTAAGCGTCTTCAGAAAGAAAGCAAACATATTGACTCTTTTGAGAGGTTAATTGTGGCTGATATGGAGAAAATGGAATCGAGGTGCTTGGAGCAGGTTTGTGCAGTGCTTCACTCTTTCGGATTATGGCTGTATTGGCATATATAACGGGATTTATAACCACCCTGGATTGGAGCTTTAAAACTGTTGTGGTTAATTCTGGTGTGACAAATACGCGATGGAAGAAAAGAAGTAGAAATGGTGACTTCTGTTACTTAAGCTGGAAACAAACAAACAAAAAAAAGTGAACACAAATGAGTTTGTCCCTTATTTCTGGGATTTTTTTAAAGGCTACTGAAATTATCAACCAGGCTGAAACAAGGCTCCGCTGTCTCTCTTTGAATCGAGTCTTTATGGAGAAGATCCAACGGCTTCTGACAAATCTACGGGTGCAAATCAAATCCGAGGTACAAGCAGAAACATCAAAGTTCTGTTTGAATGAATTCTAATCGTTCCTCTTCTGTTCAACTGAGATTTCAGACAGACTTCAGAGCGAACTGACCGCGAGTAACTTCTTGTGTCAAATCAAAACTCATTTTTGTCACTGTCCTCTGAAACCGTGGCCTTCCTGCAGCTGTACTGGAATGCTGTAGCCTTGCAGCCATGGAGCTTGTTGGTTTTGGTGCTAATGACTGAGTCTCTTACTGGCAAGTCTTGTGCTTTCAAAGATTGTGAAAATCCTGTGAATGAGATTCTCCTTCACCAATATCTGCTTCTGTTCCAGGTAGCAAATTCCAATTTGCAGGCAGCAGCATTAAAATCCTGCCTGGAGAAGCTCCATGCTTTTGCTCATCCTACAGCAGATAAAGAAGTAAGTTTTAAACAGATGAAATGATATTATTTCGACCACATTTTGTCTCAGACCAGCTCTGTATCTCTTCTCCTATTTGCAATACAATCTCATTGCTTCTCTGGTGCAATGAATGCCATCTATATTGCTGTATCTTTCAGGCTTTGACTTCTGAAGAGTTGTATGACTTTATCAAAGTTGTGCTGAAAGAACTGAAGGCAAGGAGCCAGTACCTTGATTGCCTGCTAGTGGACACAACAGGACCACGTGATAATGTAGGATAATGTTTGTTCTCTCCCTTTTATTTAATGTTGAGTGATATTTTAATGTGCATCTATTTTAAAAGCTTTTCAGAATCTTTGAGAATACGTGTTAAGATGGTGCTTATGATGATTGTGAGGATCTACTCACAACCACTTCTTAGTGTCACAGAGCCATACAGCTGTAACAGCATTTCTCCTGGAGTTACAGAAGCCTTTCTTCCAGCCTGTCAAGCAAAATAGCATAAGTTTGGAATATCTATTTTACAGCCAATATCTACATGCATTGCTGACACTACCTGCCTGCCACAACTGACATGGTTTCATTCTGTGCCCAATTCAGGAGCGCTTCGCCCCTCCTGCAGCTGAGGTTACGTTACAAGGTCCCATTGCTGCTGCCATTCGAGTGGAGCACAGACTGGTGATGATGGGGCTGGATCCTGGCAGATTTCCTTTGTTAAATCCGAGCAGAATGGGAAAATCTGCAATTGATGATTTATCAGTAAGCGTTATTAAAAACTTACTCGAGTAAGTACTTGTTTGCCTCATCATGTTTTTCTGTTCCTGTCTTTATTTGAATTTGCCTTGCTAAATATATCTCATCTCTTCACAAGGCCTCTGATAGTAATAAGAACAACTTAATGCACAACTATGCAATTATTTACTCTGGGAAGGTGCTCCTGTTTACACTGTTGGCTGCAAATGTGACCCCATGGGTCGACCCCCACCTCAGCAACTGGTCTGCAGTGAACACTTGGTTGGAGAAGGGAGCTTGTAGCTGGGTGTTCCAAAGCCAATTAACTCTTCCTTTTGTTTCAGAGTTCAGTCATCCAGGAGAAAATCATCAGGCCAACATCAGGACAGCAGGGGTTCATTGGAACCAGGTGTGCTGGAAGTTCTCTTAATTTATTGCATTCATCTCAATTGTAGTTCATAGCACATCAGGGAGCAGGTCGAGCTGTTCCAGGCCAGTGGCTTACATGTGAGCCCTGAGAGGGCTGTGCATCATCCTCACTGTCACCTTAGCTGCCTTTACTTTGCACTACAGTGTTGTTTTGGCTCTTATCCAATGATAGGTGCAGAATAAGATGAGGTGGGCTTTTCTTTGTTGTTTTTTTTTTTAACGAGGTACCTATATTTGTAATAGCAAAAGTTGTGGAAGAAAGCTGGCATTTATACTTTGCTCTTTTTCTTTCCTTATTAAATACAAAGCAACTCTTACCACACAGAGGAAGAATTCTCACTTAAATGTATCTGATGAAGGCCCTCGGAGCTCTGCTGCTCACAAGCACGCAGCTCGGAGCATCCAGAAGCCAGCTACTAAAAAAAGGGCATCAAGAGGAAGGTGAGATGTTGCACACTCGTGTGTTCTGCCCATTCTTGGAGAAATTCTTCACTGTTATTTGCATTAGCCTTTCTGCCAGTGCTTCTCTATTGGGATCTTGTGGTTTATGTCCCCGTGATCAGACTTTGGGTCTGATCATTTCAGATTCATTTCAGACTATGGGTGGAAAAGTGCTTTACTCCTGTTTATTGGCTGCTGGTCTGTACTATGAAATTGCTGAAATACAGACTAATACCCCCTTAAACCAACGTGGCTTCATTTCTAGCTCAGCATCTGAATGGTGCATCTTGAGCAAGATGAAATTGATGAAATGAGTGAGTCTAATGGTGGCAGCAACAAAAGTACTGAGAAGCCATTGAGGAGTCATCAACAATAGTTCCCATGTAATACTGGTTTTAGAGTTACATCTTCTCGATTTTTCTTTAATTTCATATCCATCACATCACCAACTAGCTTAAACAAGCAGAGAAACAAAGACTTTATAGACCAATATTTTTCTTGCCTTCTCAGCATGCAGAAATGCACCAAATCCGTTCTCAGTGACAAGAGATTCCAGATATTTGGGGAGATGCCTCCTGAATTGAAGTGAGTTGTGTGCATCTTCAGAAAGAAACCCATCACCTCGGGGGGGTGTGATGTGTTCGTGGGCTCACTGTTACATCTGCACAAATGAAATAGGAACAAACCATTTCAGAGATGATTTTTAAGTGGTTGCATTCCCCTGCTCTATTAGAACTGACTGGTTGGTCTTCATACAGTGTGATTGTCTCTTTCATTATTATTTTTATTCATTTGCAGTACTTTTAAAGGGATTGTTATGAAAATTCTCTGGATGGGTAATAACAACTTGCTCTGTCTTGCTGAGGTAAGAAAAGTGTTTCTCCATCACTTTTGCTGCCGCAGGTGTAACGTGTCAGCTAAATGATTTGGTTGTATCATAATGTTTGGGTGGCCATCCAAAAACTGCTTACTTCATCAGGCCATCTAATTCTTAATAATCCTTGATGCAGACGGTTTTTAATGATTAAGTATTTCAGGAGCTCAGAATGTGGTTTAACATATGGGGGGACACCAACACCCGTATCTGGTTGTGTAGCAGCGTGTCTGCAAAGCCAAGGCAGCCCCAATCTTCTTCATTCTAATGAATAAATCCCCTAATACTACAATACCTATACTAACATATAACTAATATTTGAGGGCATGTTACCAAGGCTAAGAGCAGTACAGTGCTAAGAGGACTGATAATGTCTTTTCAGAATTGGGAATTAAGCTGCACTGTAGTCTTGGAAACACTCCCTGTTCAAAGAGCAGATAGGAAATAGAATAAAAGCACAGCAGAAGAAGATAACTGGTATCAAATAAGAGAGAGATTGACAGCCTTCTGTATCTCTGTTACTGCTATATGCATAGATATGACTTGTTTGTACATGTTATCAGCATCTTTTCTGTCTTATCTTAAACTCTTGAAGGAGTTCTACCACAAAGAGAAGCATCAAACCACAATGCCTGAAGATTTGCCAGAGACATTTGAACGTTTTGCAGAAGTAATCAAACAGACTCTGCTGTCATATCAAAGTCAGATAGATGATTACTACAATTCCTGCCTTAAAGGTAAATTAATTCAGCCAAGACTTTTAATTTCACTGAAAATTGCAACGAATCAAGAATAAAATAGATGAGTGGAAAAACTGTTGATTTTATTGGGCCAATAACATCTTTAATGTATTATCTGCAATATAGAATGTGAGGAAAGAGCCACTGACTAAGCTGATAGACCTGTACAAGGTCAAGTTTTTTAGCAAGTGTGTTTCTGTAGTCATGGGTCTCAGGAAAAGGAATGTCAGGGACAGAATTTAGAGAGGAAATTCCTCCATGTTTGACCATTGCAGTGTACATTCACCTCAGCTGAATTTTCTTTGCTTGCCAGAATTTTGGGATCAGTTGAAGTCATTTGAAGAGGAACTCCCTTATGTCTCCCAGTTGGCAGTTGATGGTCTTTTAAAGGAACACGAACAGAAGCTCAGCTATGCCACCAGTAACATTGAGCACTCCTTCAATCAGCAGCTGGAGGACTGGAGGAGCGTGAAGGTATCCAGCATGGATGTGTTGGAATGCTTCCAGTCTAAGCAGTGCTGAAAGCATCAGGATTGTTCATAGTTTCAAACTCTTTAGGATCTGTAACGTTGTATGAGTCTTGTTCGCATGCTTTTATATGAAGTGATTGGTTTTACTACTTTCTCACTATGACTCCATTGCACCTTCTTTATAGAAAATATTTCTTACGTGTTTGCCTGCAGGCTGCACGTGAGAATGAATTACGTCCCTCTCTGGGACATCCAGACAACTTGCTGCAGCTGGAGGCTTTGTGCCAGCGGGAATCAAAAGAGCAAAAGGACCACGTTGATGCTGTTCACCTCCACACTCGGATGCTTCAGGTAAGCATAAAGCCCAGTGCTTAATATCAGCTTGATAGGTGTGGTATATGCAAAGGATTATATAGATTAAATCCACTTTTCTCCTGTGCCAACAGTAAAGTGGAAAATGTTTTCAGTTTTATGCAGTGCTGTTCACACAACATCTTCAAGCTGGCAGCATTTGATTGATATATGCACGAAGGCATGCATTTACAAGTGCACATAACCCATCATCTGTATTGTTCATTGGATGTACTGAGGAGGGGTGGCTCATCTCTCAGTGACAGAACAGTTGCATATGAGTTTATCTGAAGTAACAGTGATGTTCTCTGGTTATTTTACTTGCAGAGGACAGGCCTGGAAGGCTTTCTTTCTGTGTGCGTTTCAATTAGGGCAGTTGGTATTTGTGCAAACACACACATACCATTTCTAGAGCAATATCTGAAAGCCCCTCTGCTCAAAGTATGTGAATTCCATAAAGTGGCCTTTGCTTTGAAAGCTCATGTTTACAAATTTCTTTTTCTACCTATTTTGAGTGCTTAACCCAAATATACAGCTACATGGCAACCACACACAGTACTCTGCAGGCTGTCATGCTTTACCTGAGGTCATCAGAGTGTTTTAGAGCACTGTGTAAGGCGCTTCCAGATCCTTTTCTGTGCCATTTGCAGCCCCATGGCTGTTATCTGCAGCTGTTGCAAAGCATCATGGTTGGAGAGGAACATAGTTCTTAGGGAGCTAAACTGAAAGGAGAAGAGATTGAGTTATCAGAGGAACTCCTCTCAGTGGTATCCAATGTCCCAACAGGACTGTGCTGCTGAGTGCACACAGAACTTCGTTTTGGCTCTGGCTGCCTTCACAGAAAAGCTGCTGCTGGAATTAGATGAAAGCATTACTATTGATGACATACAAGCACCAAGTAAGTAATGATGGAATTTCTTGTTCACACGTGATTGCACATGCAAAACCATTTCTTGGAAGTGGTGAGCATCACGTGGAGTTCCTTGAAAGCAACAGCATGACTGCCTCTGTTTGGTTCCTCCTGAGTATATCTTACATCATCTTCCAGAAACTGAAACACCGAAGCAGAAGATATCCTTCTTAATTCATCATAAACAAGCTGGTCTTCCTCTACAGACCTGTGGGGCTGAGCAGTTGGTCAAACGTGGAAGGAGGTAATATTGGGTCATACAGGACACAGTTGTATTCCATTTCTCTTCCCTAGGCTGACATCAGGTGTTCTCCTAGTTTTGTTTTGTTTTGTTTTGTTTTGCTCCAGTTGTTAAAATTGCTTGGTTGTTTTGCTTTACCACTATTTATCACTTGCCCGTATACAAATCTGAGGAATGCTATGTGTTTTCCCTGTGAAAGTATGAATTCTGTTTACGGTGCAGAGCTCCTGGTTACTCTCTTCTTTTCCAACTGCGTCTCCTCTGGATATTTTTGTTGTTGTTGTTTATTTGTTTTGTTTCTTTAAGGACCTGGCCAGGAATACCCATGACCAAGCTTATGGGCGATTCAGACTGCATTATGGTCAGAGAAACGGCATCAGTCACAACAGCAAAGACTACGCTGGGCCACACAGCAGCAGTGGAAGCAAGAGATGCTGTATATAAGGTTGATCGGTGGGAAAGGGCTCTTATGGGTTGTGTGTGGATGGGATGTCTGTTATTGCTGTAGATTTGTATAGATATGGATATATTTTAATATACAGAGCGGTTTCAGACCTTGAAGCAGTGTTCTCCATGCATAAAAATCTATTCTTATGTCTGCATGCAATCATTTAGGCATTCTATGATTCTAGGATCTGATGGTTGGGTTTTTAGGAATCATACTGGATTTCTACCAGTTTTAACCTCAATTGTTGTTCTTTGTACAGAAATACATATGTAAACTTGAGCAGCAGTTAGCCCAGATCAAGGAAGAATGCACCTCTCAGCTGGTAACGATTCAGCGTTGGGGAGATTGGTGGAAGCAGTCCATCCAGAAAATTAAGCAACTGCATACGTGAGATCAGTCAAATCTTGCTCAAATGCCTGTGTTCTACCAATAAATATCCTCTTCAACATAAAAAGAAATAAAATTCCCATGCTGCATCTTTACTGGAGTGATTGGGGGATGTAATTAGTTCATATGTGCCTTTTCAGCTGTTGTAGTTTGGCCTGGCTTCTTCAATAAAGGGGTGAAGGAATGTTTTCCCAAGATGAGGATAACCATGACAGTGAGCTAAAGGAAAATCTAAAGCTTTGTTTACTAAATATATTAGTTATATTAGCTACTATATTTGGTATATAGCTACTATATTTGGAAAACTAATTTTTCTGTGGGTCCCTTTGCCCTGCAGTCATGGAAACCAGGCCAAACTGTGACAATTCTGGCACATTGCCTGGGATGCAAATCCAGGCCTCGTGCATAGCAGGCAATAACTTTACCACTGAACAACCTCTACGTGATTTGGAATACTGATGAAAAACCATGAAATCATGGCATCAGCCCATTCCGTTCTAAGAAGAATTAAATCACAGCATCCCAGCAGTTACAAAGGTCCTCTGGGGATCGAGTCCAACCCTCTAAGAACAATGTTTTCCTTGTAGTGATCATCACTTTATGAAGGCTAAAAGGAAGTTTTTATTGAATACAGGGTTGTTCTGTACTGCATGCTGTGGAATTGCTGACATATTGCTGGTGGTTGTCATGGATCTTGATTCCCCTATCCGATCCAGTTTAAAGCCCTGGTGATGAGCCCAGTCAGCTTGCTGCCTGTTACATCCTTACTCCTCCCAGCCAGCCGTGGCCCATGCAATGTCAATGTGCCCATCTTTTGGAGGTGCAGCCATGCCCACGGCACACAAACCACGAGTGTGACGCCATGCCAACACTTGTGCCCATGTCACTCCCAGCACAGCCCTCAGGGCTGTTGGTCATTGTGTAATTCCAAGTGCTGCTCTCTGCTGCTGCCCATAATGGAAGAGAATGCTCCGCCTCGCACGGATGTTACGCACTGCTCTGCTCGTGAATGCTGTCATCTCTGTTGGCAGCAGAGCCATTCCCACAGCTCCTGGCACCAAGCCTGCTGCTCTCAGCCCGCATCAGAAATTCCTCTAATGATTTCCAGAAAGGCGTTGGGATCTTTAGTCTGCCTGTCTGCTGTAACCACATTGATCTGGTAAGCATTTGCTGACAAGTTGGTTAATGTTTAACTGTGAGTTCCCTGGCTGCAGTCGGAAGCGTGACAGCAGGTTGGCACAGGCAAGTGTATTTTTCAGGAAGTTCCTCTTCAGGTAAAAATTAGCAAAAATCACCAATCCCTTCTCCCACCCACACCTTAACGGGGCGGCTCTTCCCCACCCAGCCCTGCCTGTGCCCATTGCTCAGCAACTTAAATGGTCCCTCCTTGCTCTGCGTTGCCCACGCACACCGCTGCGATCAAAGCTGAAGGGAGAAAGAAAACCGTGCAAACTCTGTTCTGTGATTTATGTGTGGCTTGCCCAGTGTCTCTGCTTCAGAACTCATCACTGTGGCACACTGCTGTGGCTGCACGCTTCTCAGTTTTGAATGTTGCCCCGCTCGTGTCTATTTGTGCATCTATTTTGAAAACATGTAGAGCTCAGTTTTGTAGATCACTTGATGTAAACAATATTGAATCCTGATGTTTCAAGCTCAGTGCTTCCAGACTCCTTTTAACCCGAGCTTCCTGTTTATACCTTAGCAGCGCTGTATGCTGTTAAAGGCTGAACGCAGTGTATGCTACACTAATGAGTAAAGAAGTTGAGCAGTTAATTACTTATCACAACCTATGCCAGATTCTGAGAACATCTTGGGAAGCACCAGAAATATATTTTTCAGTGCTGCCTGTCTTAAAATACTTCTTTGCTATTGCTTACAGGGTCGCAGTTGGGAATTGGAAAGTGCACTACCTCCCATATTACCTTCCCTGCCCTGGAATCTTGTAAGTCTCCCATTTTGTATGTAATAAGTATCATAGATCACTGCTACAAGACCTGAATTTTGCTGACAGTACACCTGGTTGTTAACAACTGCTCTCTTATCTTTTATTTTATGCAATAACGAGCCTATGATTAGTGTTTCTCAAATAAAATGATGGTGATACAGCCCTGTCTGTTCAGTCTGCTTCCTCTCCTGACCAGCCCTGTGTTTGTACAGCATGAACAAAGGTCTTGAGGTCTCATTTGTTGTATCATCACAGAGTTGGGTTTGTTATCAGGGTGTGATCAGACACATACACCTGTACACACATGATCTCGCTGCACTTTAGGATGTGTGCATCCCAGTTTGCTGGATGGAGCGGTGTAAGTCAGAGGGGTGAGATGAAGGGTCACACAAGGAGTTCAAACAGAGTGGTTAAAAACATTGTCTCATAGATTACTAATTTCCCTGACTGCTGTTCTGAGTGTGGTGTATTTCAAGTAGCTCAGCCCTCCTGGGGGACAGGAACAAACATGCAGGGAATGAACACGTATGTGACCAGAACTGGCAGCCCCAACAACTGCGTGCTTTGCTGGTTTTTGACCACTGCACTGATAAAATCACAGACTCAGAGGGCTGCCATCCTCTCCCCATCCCTGTTTTCTTCTGTGCTTGGCTGTAATTTGCCTGGCAGCCCATTAAGATGTGCACAGGCAATGCCCAATTGTTTATATCTGTGCACAGCAACTGGAGTGAAAACTGGGACGACTGTCTGTAAACCAGCAGGTCCTGAAGTTAAACCTGTGTCCTGTTAAAATAAAAACGTCACAGAACCTTCATTCTCCCATTATGCAGCTCCAAGGAACTCCTGTATTTGGAAGAAAAGCCAGTCCAGCTTTTCCCACAGTAAGTAATAGCTTTTTATTTCCCCTTGTTCCTCCTTATAAGCCTATTTTGTGTATTACTCATTGGATATTTCTTCCTTTTTACAGATTATTTTATCAGCAACCACGAGTGCTGGCTCCAAAGTAAGATTTTTCATTTACTGTTTGTTTCTTGATCCTGCATGTTACAGAGCTGCTGGGTTTGGTTTGGGTGCTTTGTGGCTCTTGGACAAAGATCTGCTATTGGGAAGAGATTGTTCTCAGAGCAGTCAGGCACTGGCGCAGGCTGCCCAGGAGAACGGTGCGTTTATGTCCCCAGAGATGTTTGAAGGATGGAGGAGGTGTGACACTTGGGGACACAGCTTGGTGGGCAGTGCTGATGGTCTGTGGGTGGTTGGACTGAGTGATCTTAGAGGTTTTCCCCAACTTTAACAGTTCTGGAGCCCTCCTCACTTGTCCCACGAGGAGCCCAGCTGTGTGGGTATGCCTGCAGCCACCCATGATGCTCTAAGATTGATCTCAGTCACTGCATACTTGCTTCTATACCAACCATGTTTTCCTAACTAATACATCAGCACAGTCAGCCCATCTACGTATTGCTGCCAGGGACTCTGAGGTGAGAAACAAATCTGACTGTTTTCTGACTACTATAACTTCTGGAACTGCACTGTAGCTTTAACCAGCTGTGAGTGAGCTCTGAATCCATTTCAGGACAAAACCAAGCAGGTGCCTCGTATGACCTCCAGCAACACTTTCAGCCAACCTGCTGGATCTTACCCTGGAACAAATTACAGGCACTCCTGTAGACAAGTCTGGCTGGGAAGCAGTCAGAGCAGTGAGCTTGAACAGACAGGGAGGGTTTTGGGCAGCAGCAGCAAGACGTGCTCCTGTCAGCTTGTGTTTGTCAGTGGTCTCCTTTGGGCCAGCTCCCATGGTCTGACTCTTATCTCCAGCAGCTCTGCTTCGTCAGCTGTTGTTAATAAGCACACCCTGTAGGGAGGCTTTACCTGGCTGTTGTTATGAGCTGTGCTGTGGCTGAATGTTTCATGCCTCCAAACTGGAATAAATTAATGTGCACAATCAACCAATGTGTTTTGGAGTAAGGAAGGAGAGAGCAGCATAGCTTTCAGTGCACTGCTTCCTAATAGGAGGTGTCTGGGTGCACTAAGTGGGTGCACACCTTCATCTTGTAATCGTGTCTTTTACCACAGGAGAGTGTTTGGTGTCTCTTTAGCTGCCATTGCCTCAGGAGCATGACAGGTGGGAGACTGCTCTGGCCTCAAAATGTGACCCTTCACCATGTGGCCATCACCAACTTCGTTAGCAGAATGACACAGATTGTGGCCCAGGGGAATGTGAACAGGCGAGGGGAAGGCTGATGTTGTAAATAACATCCTGCTTAAAAAAAAATCAAAGAGGTGGGTAAGAAGCCCTGAAATGAAGGAAGAAGGGTGGAAATAGCATTGCGTAACAGTCACTGGCTTCAATCTGGCTCTGCTGTGTGTATATTCAATAGTTCCACTTCCCCCACTCAGAAGATCAAGGATTTTCTGTAGCTGTTACATATTTGAATGCCAGTTCATACAAAGAATCTTAAATTCTTTCTGAATATGTTAAAGCTATATATAAATAGTGGGGAAAAACAACTGTCGTGCCACAAGCTGTGTTTTAATAATTCCACAGCCATGGAGCATAGTTCTATAATGATTTATATATTAGTACTTGCATTTTAATTCATTTGTAGCCATGTGCACCAGAGTGATAACAAATGTGCATAGCTTCCCATTCTGCGAGTCCTGAGGTCATTAAACTCCCCTCAGCAGATAAGTCCTGTAGGCTTAAATGAGATTTTGGTGTGTCATCACTTTTTTTTTTTTTTTTTTTACTAATTCCATAGACAGTGCTGAATTTCACCCCAAGAACTGAAATTCCATGCTGTATGACATTAAGAGCATAGGGAAAGAGATCTGAACACCATACTACCCATAAGAAGTCAGTGCTGATGTACTCTCCAGTGTTTCTTCCCCATTGGGTTGAAACCAATGGTCATGTTTTGTTAACATTCCCCTTTTTTCAGGCGTCAGGATGTGCTAACAGTCACACCATGGTTGGCCCCCATCGTTTGGGAAGGCACCTTCAGCCCTGAGATCCTGGACAGTGTCTACATGCCATTGAATCTCACCATAGGGGTGACAGCCTTTGCCATTGGAAAGTAAGTGAACCATCTGGGGGGAATCCAGTTCTTGGCTGCTTGTGGAAAGGTACTTTGGCTGCTTCTTGTCCTCAGCAGAGCTGAAGCCTGTTCCGATCTGCAGCAATTTTTTCTGTCTATGTAGAATGCCTCCTTAGAATGGTTTGGGTCAGAAGGACCTCAGGGATCACGAAGCTCCAACCCCCCTGCCACAGGCAGGGCCTCAAACCTCTGCATTTAATACTAGACCGGGCTGCCCAGGGCCCCATCCAACTTAGCCCTGAACCTTGAACCCATTCAACCTGACCTATGTGCTGCGTTCATAATCATACGAGCCTGTAAAATAACCTCGGCACTCAAAATATCTGCAGAAATTAGAGATGTAGAGAGGTGGTTGGGTTGGCCAAAGTGGGGACGATGGCTTTATTTGTTGTTCTCTACCCCTCTTCGCTGTATATATAACACGTGCATCCCTGCAGCAGTACCTAGTAACACTCCCTAGACTTCATTCACTGAAGTACCCTCTGTGATCCACCGTGCAGCCCCATGTTTGTCTGTACAGATACACGAGGTTTGTGGGCCGCTTCCTGGAGTCAGCAGAGATGCACTTCATGAAAGGCTATCGAGTGAACTATTACATCTTCACTGACAACCCCGAGATGATCCCCAGCATCCAGCTGCAACCTGGCCGAAGATTTGATGTTGTGCACGTCAAGAAATACCCCAGCTGGCAAGAGATCTCCATGCGCAGGATGGAGACTATCAACCTACACATAGCAGAGAGGAGCCATCAGGAGGTGGACTACCTCTTCTGTCTGGATATTGACATGGTGTTCCACAATGCCTGGGGGGCTGAGACCCTCGGTGACATTGTAGCAGCCATACACCCTGGTTATTTCAATGTCCCTCGAAGCCAGTTCCCATATGAGAGGAGGAGCTCTTCAGCAGCCTACATCCCTGAGGGAGAAGGGGACTTCTACTATGGAGGAGCTGTGTTTGGAGGGCTGGTCAAGAAGGTCTACGAGTTCACCAAGACTTGCCACATGACCATCCTGGCAGACAAAGCCAACGGGATCATGGCAGCCTGGCAGGAAGAAAGCCATCTCAACAGGCACTTTCTCTCCCATAAACCCTCCAAGGTGCTCTCTCCAGAATATATATGGGATGACAGGAAGCCAAAGCCCCCTGAAATTTACCTCATACGCTTTTCCACAGTAGATAAGAACTACCAGGAGGTAAGAAATTGACCTCCTGATCCTCGCAGAGAGATGTCCTCCAACCTGCTGAATGTTAGCTCCCAGTGAAGGTGTCCCACTGTGGGTAGTTTCTCTGGAGAATGAGAGCCTTAAAGCATTTCAGAAGCAGCAGCCAAAGTGGAAGTGAGAATGGAAAGGTTTCTAGGTTCCTAATCATTGTAAATACAAGTGTAGCTCTGAGAGTGGAAGCATAGCAGCAGGTATACAAAGGGTGTGCTGTCAAGTAGAAGGCTGTCCTCACAGCAAGGCTGCAAATGCTGTTGTTTGCATATTTTCCTGAAGCTTTGCAGAAACTTAGGCAGGATCAAAACTTTGGCATCCCTATGGAAAAAGAAAAAGACCTTTCCACTTAAAAATACTTCAAACACTCTGCTTTTAAAAAAAATTATTAATTTTCACATACTGTAGTTCAAACACTAGATAAGGATCAGCTTACCCTCAGTGCAGGTTATCCCTATTAGTGTGCAGCAGTGACAGAGCTCTTCTCAGCAGTGAGATGCAGGAATTCCTGACGGACCAGCAGTGCCATTTCACACACTTCCAAGCTGTTTTGGGCACCCAAGTTCAGACTGAACTGGCACAGTTCAAACCCAGAGAGCGTTGTGGGTTTGTTCCAGTCACAGATGTGCTATTCGCCTTTTTGCCAGCTCACACGTCTCTGGGGCTCATATAATCTTTTCCATGGTGTGAGAGGTCCATGTGCTTACTCTCTGCTTCAGTCCTCTCCAAGTTTTCTGAGTATTGTAAAACAAATGGGCCAGAAGCTGTTGGAGCTGACAGCCAGAGTTGGAGCATTTCCTACAGACAGGGTGGCTTCACTCCATAATGAAATGCTCTCTTGGATCTGTATGTTCAGCTGGGAGCTGGAGGTAGGCTGGGGTTAACCTTTTCTTTGCATGAACGTGATAAGAAGCTGACCCAGGCACACTGCAGCCTTCCAAGCCTGCGAGCTCATGGGGCAAATAGGTGGGGAGGGTGTCCAAACACAGGGGAACAGCTGTGCCTCGCCAGCAGCAGCTGCAAAATGGTTCATCAGCTGTGGTTACAGGGTGGAGGTCTGTGTGTTTACTCCCTGCTACAGCACATTGGCTGTGAGCATCTTCCCTGTGAGCTCCTGAGGAGTGCTGCCAGTGGGCACTGCGGGTCTGTGCCAGCCTCACTTGCCAGGAATATCTTTATCCCAGTATTTCCAATCAAAACCAGGATTGTTACTGACCATCTTCTTGTTCTAAAACAATTGTGCCCAAAGCTCACACCTGACTCTAGGGTCTCATTATGTCAGTAACTACATATGGGCATATGGAGCCCTTTGCAAGCCAGAAGGAGCTGTCTGGTTTGATCTCCTGCATGGGGTTAGCCAGATAATTTTATCTCCTGCTGTCAGTATCAATGTCATAATACAGGGCTGAGCTGTGCTACATCTCTTAGAAGAGAATTCAGGCCCAACACAAACATCAAGTGATACAGAAGCCACAAAGCCATAGTCAGCTCCTCCTGTGCCTTAATTCTTCTCCAAGTCAGGCTCTCTTTTTGGCTGTTGGATTTTCTTCTGCCACGCTAGATTATTCAGATTCCTGTGCAGATATTCATATTCACGTCACAGTTCTGCTCACCAGGGCTGTGATTGGAAGCAGTGCCCAGAGACACCCATTGTCTTTGGGGAGCAGGAGACTGTGGCTGCAGGAGGATGCTGCATTCCCCATTGTGGCACACTAATTGATGAGAGCCTGGACTTCTGCCATCACCTCCTGCTGATTAATCCCCTTCCCCCAGCACCAGGCTTTGCTTTTTGCCTTTGCATTGTGCAGCCTGAGACCCGTGGGCTGGGGGGAGTTTCACAGAGCTCACTTTCTGCTCTTAATTTTTCACCAATGCTCACAGGGAAACTGAGGCACATAGTAGCAAAGCATGGCGTGGTGCTGCTGCGTATGGGGGCTGCCACAGGGGGATAATGCTGTGTCTCATGTCTTTATGTCAAGGGAATTTAGACTTGGAAACATGCTTGCTGTACTGCATAGAAAGTGAATCAGCACATACAAATAAATTATCACCCAAATTTACATTGTCTGGGGGTCTGATCGTGCTTTCAAGGTATTTTTGACTCAAGAGCTGCTTGTCCTTAACCAAGCATCACATTATAGCTTGTTGCTTTCCCAAGGGTCCCTTGTTCTGTCTGTCTCCTTCTGCTTGACTGGAACAGACCCATCATTCATTGTCCATCTAATTTAAGAGCGCACCTGACAGCCTTCTCTCCTTGTTCCATCTGAGGACAGGCATGGTGCAACCATCCCAAAGGAAAACCTGCTTTGGGGAGCAAGAAACAGAAACTTCCAGCACTGAAAATGATCTCAGGTGGGAGAAGGACAAGAATCATTTGCACAGAGCCACATTAGCACCTTTTTTGCTTTTTGGGTTTTCCTTTATCCTCCCATAGATGCAAAGCGAGGTTCCTCCCCAGAGAGGATTTGTTCTGATCCTAAAGGGCAGCTGTGGGCACTGGGGGTCCTTTTTGCTCACTCACACTTCCCCTGCTCTGCTTCAGCTCTCCACCCAGTGAGGGATCCCTGGGGAGAACCACGCAGAGAGTAACAGCTGCTCTCTGTGTGACAGTGATAGGCACTGGGGGACAGCAGAAACCAGAGGGCTCTGCAGCAGTGGGTTGCACTTCACTCCCACTAAATCCCCACAGCCGCTAGCAAAACTCATCAGGGCAGTGAGTCCTCAGTGCCTGCCCACCCCCAGCTCCCTCCTTCTCTGTGGGTAAGAGCACTGCTGCACTGACTTGACTTTTCTTGGGCTATATTTAGAATAAATAGAGATCCACCAAATGTCACTGTCTCAAATTGAACTGCTGTACAGCCACACGGGTAGAAAGGCAGCTTTAACCAGCAGCCACTGCCTGCCTTGCCCCCCACTCTGAGCCTTCAGCTAATTTACAGCAAGTCAGATGAGTCCAAATGATTTTTTTTCCTAGTGAGTTTTGCCTGTAGCAAATTACATCGTTACAGGCCTTCTGAAATATGTATTTTCCCCACCGTTCAGCACTGACAATGTTGCTATAATTAGAAGGACTGCTCTGTAGCAGCATCTAGTGCCAGAGAGAGAGCCCTCGCAGCGCCTTTTCCTTTCACGGCTGTGCTGCTTATCCAGAGCCTCTGGTTCTGCTGGTGTGAAGCCGCAAAGCCATGAGATGCAATAAGTTGTGCTGTGCCACCAGCTCCTGCCATGACCCTGGTGAGGTTGCTCCAGGAGGGGCTGCGTGCAGTGGTTCCCAGCAGCATGGTGGCCAGATCAGTGTCCCCAAGCCAGGAGCATCACTTGGCTCCATCCCACCTCCATGTTCACTTGCCCAGGGAGGGTAGCATATCTCTCACTTCTGACATCACTCAGCGATAGCACATGTCATCAGCCTCATCAATATAAACTATGAGCACTGGAGCCTCACTGTTTCCAGGGCAACCCCGCTCCTCTCAGCCTCCGCTGTCTCACCAGCTGACGCTCCACGGAGCTGTACATGGAGACTTCCAGCAGCTTTTTCCTAGGGTTCCTCCATGCCCCCATTCTGGGCGCTGGGCTGAGCAGAGCTGGGGGCTGGATACTGTGTGCACAGTGCAGTGCTTTGCTTGCGTCGTTGGAGGCGTTGTGCAGGGCACAGCCTGGCAGCGGCGCGCGGGGGATCTCTCCCAGCAATGACCCGTTTCTCTGCCCTCAGCTCTTCTATTTATAGCTTTGCACAGCAGCACCGTGCTGCCAAAACCCAGCAAACCGCCGCTCGCTCCACGGTGAGGCCTGAGGGGCACTTTCCTCTGTGGCACCTGCAGCTCAAACATCCCAGGGCTGAACCCGAAGGGCCGTGAGGTGCTCAGGGCACGGGGATGAGGGAGCAATGGGAACAGATGCCTGCAACTGCCGTCGCACCCAGGAAACAAACGTGCAACCGTGGAGCTGCAGCCCGAATGCACGGGCCTGGGGTCAAGTCTACATCCACGGGGGGTTGCTGCACACCCACGGGAGCTGACGCACACCTCGGGAGCGGTTCTGCACCCCGGCGGGCTGGTGCGCATCCACTGGGGTCTCTGTTTGTGCGCCCACTCCCGAGGCAGGTGCAAAACCAGGGGAGCAGATCCGCGCGCAGGCGGACGGGCATCCACGCGCACAGCCTGGGAGCAGAAGTGCAGCCCCGCGGTTGGCGTCCTCGCGCGGTGCGGGAGTTGCAGGCACGCAGGTACCGCGCACATCCCCGCTCCGCGCCTCTCTCCGGGCGGAGCCGCCGTTCCCCGCCCTCCCTTCCCAGCCCGCTCGTCCCCGCCCCGCACTCCGCTCCTCTCTCCTGGCTGCGCTGCGCGCTCCGCGCTGCCGGTGCCGGCGGCTCCCGGTGGGGCTGCGAGGCCCCATGGCCGGCACGGAGCGGCCCCGGCCTCCGGGCAGCGCGGAGCGGCGCTGAGCCCCGCGGAGCCCCGCAGCGGGACCGGCGCCTCTCGTAGCGCGGCCCGCGGAGGCTATGAGCGGGGCATGATGATGATCGACAGCCAGGTGAGCTGAGCGCTTTCCTCTTTCGGCTTTGTCACTTTTCCCGGTGCCCGCGGCTCCGCAACGACAGGGGTTCCCCCTTCTGCACCCCGGCTGCGGGGCTCGCGGGGACCCACGCTATGCGTTTGGTTTTCTGCGTGCGGAGGGGACGAGCGGAGCCGGCAGGAGTGGGAATGAAGGAATGAGAAGGAGAGCGGCACAGCACGGGGTCGGGTACGGAGGTTGCTGCGGTGCTGCGGCCGTTCCTGGCTGCGTGCGGGGCTGCAGCGCTCAGCCAGGTGGCACCAGGAGCTCCCTGTCCCCGCTCCTGTGTTTGCGAGGCTGAACGAAGCCAAATCGGGCCTAAAGGGGCAAAAGCTCTGTGCTTGCAACTCCCGTGGTGCTTTTGAGGCAGGAGAGCGTGAACCAAAGGCAAAAAATCCGATGGAAGGTTCCTCATCTTCTTTTGGTCCTGATGCTGCTCTGATTTTATACTTTTTATTCCCCACTTCTTATTTATACTTCTCCTTTATTTATTTTTACTTTTTATTCACCTGCTCTCTGGCCCTGCAGAGGAATGGGGTCGGTGGCCACGGGGTGATGGGAAGTGGGCAGTGATAGCTCCTGGGAGTCCAGAAATGGAGAAGGGAAAAGGCTGATGCTGCGATGGAAAAGTGGGATGGGAGCCATTTTTGGGCTGGAAAAAAACATGCATCCCAAAGCTGCCTTCTGCACCAAGTGTATCTGTTTGGTCCAGGCCTGGTTTGCCTTGCCCCAGCACTGTGAACAGAAGCTGAATTAGCTCTGGTGGACGTGAGCGTGTGAGGCAGGAGCTGTGCCAGTGTGTGTGTGTGTGTGCTGGAGCGTGGCGTGTGCCTTTGGAAAAGGGCATTGGCAGCCAAAGTGCTGGGTTTGCATCCTGGCACTGGCAAGGGGCAGAAGCAAGACTGCGTGGCTGTGGGCAGGAGGGAGAACCAGAAAGCCAGAGGTGTAAAATCATACAGTAAACGATGTCCAGAGCTCAACCTCCCAGCTGTGCTGCGGAATGAACACTGCATTCCTATGGAGTGCATCATCCAATGTTTGCCTTCCTTCGCTGCGTATACTTACCTCCATTTTGCATGTGGGTAAACTGAGGCACCCAGCGGTGTCACCAATCCCAGGGGTGTGTGTGGCACAGAGTGCACGCCCTGGCTCTCAATGCAGGCCCTGCTGGTGGGGGTGAACGCTTGGCCATGTCAGGGGTGCGATTCCTTCAGCCCCATCATTTTTTGTGACTACAGGGTGAGTGGAATTTCCAGCTGCACCCACAGCCGCACCCGGCCAACGTGGCTGCGCAGCGGCATTCTTCGTGCCTTGTACGTGTTCCTCTCCCTGGTTGCTATGAGAAGGACCCACACAAACAACCAAGTGCTGCAAATCAAACAAGCTGAGTAAACAAGGAGGGTTCCCCCTCCCCGTCTCTGATCTAATCGCTGCAGGTGTGTTCCTTGGGGAGTCGTAACACCTGGATAGAAGGGCGTCTGAGGAAGGGAAGGTTTCAGCCTTAAAACCAAAACTTGCACGTGAGTGGGGTCAGAAGGTGGCTTCCAGCTGGCAGAGAGATGCACAGTGCCTCCGCAGCGTGGCTGGGCTGCTCCATCTGGAGCTCCCACTCATGCTTGTATGTGTGACCATGAGCAGGGGATGCAGCAGCTGCTGCAGAATGGATCCCAGTGTGGGACGCTCGGTGCAGTTTGTTGTCAGTTTGCTTTGTAGGTGCCTTTGGTGTGAGCAAAGGAGGGGGTTTTCAGGGCTATTTGTTCTGGGCATCCTGGGGATTGTATTTTTCAGCTCCTCACACTGCTCTTGCTGTGCCATCCCCTGTACGGTGCCTGGCTGTGGGACTGTGAGAAGCAGGTGTCCTGATCTTGCCTTGCTCTTAAAAGTGATCTGCACTATCCATCGGAGCTGGCTTTGCATCTGATACCTTTCCCATTGCTATAGCAACACATATCTCACAGAGGATGCCAGCGTGCTTTCCAAGCTGAGAAACTGATTCACCTGCCACCAATCTGCAATCCACCAGGAGCTGGGGTGGCTGACTGCCTGCTGCCCACAGCTGCTGGCTCTGGGAAGAGCTGACATGGGCTTGCAGCAGCTGACCCGGCTCTTCCCCACCTCCTGCTTGAAGTTCCTTGGGATCTCAGGGTCAGGGTTGCGTGGCATTGTGTGCTGGGATCTGGGATTTCTCTCTAAGGGGGAAGGTGGGGGTGGTGCCAGCAAGCTCACTGAGACTGTGAAGGTGTTAGGGGCTGTTTGTGTTCTGTCTTGCCTGTAGAGGCTGGAAGTTGAGCTCCACCCGTGGCATGCTGTGGGGCAGTGGGGTTATTAGCCTGCTTTGCCTTTTGCTCTGTGTCTTTGCATGCTGCTGTCACTGCATGGGCTCAGGGACATTCTGTGGTCTGTTACTCTTCCATGCAAACCAGAGCTGCCCCCAGGCATGCAGCGATTGGTGGCTATTGGGATGGCTGCAAGGATGCCTTCCCTGTCTGATGATGGTTGCTGCTGCCTTCATGCATCAGTCAGTGCTGGTTAGGGATGCATTTGTGGGCAGTTGGGACTGTCGTGAGCTGAGTGAGCCCACGTGTGCAGGCCAGGCTGCACAGGGCCGAGCAGAGCTGTGCAGCAGATGGCACTGTTGTTTTCCCTGTGAGTTATTGGGTTCTGCCTTTGTAGGTGCTGGAAGGGTCAGTGGATGGATGGGGCTGTGGGGGTGGCACAGCTCTGGTGGGAAGCAGCACTGGAGCCACGCTGTGCTCTGGACTGGCTGAGTCCAACCAGCAGTGAGGCTGCACCCGTCTGCATTCCTTGGGGATTTACACTTCACGTTCCATGGTGTCCTGACCCTTTTTACTCCCAGCTCACCCCGGGAATGCCTGCCCTCCCCATGCTTCTCTCCTGGGACTCTCCACAGGATGTCGGATATTTGCTTTCTTCACCTTTTTTTTTTTTTTTTTTTTTTTTCTTTTTTCCCTGTGCTTCAACTTTTGGCTGTGGGTCAAAACCAATGTTTGTAGATATGAGCTGACGTCAAAGGCGGTTCAGCAGAGGCACGTTGGGGAATCACGGGCTCACAGGACAGAGTTCCCAATCCTTAGAGGCCAGGAGGTCATCCAGCAGAGAGATCTCGCTGTGCTCTGCTGCTCTGCGTGCAGAGAGCTTTGGCAGATGGGAGGAGGAAGAGATGAGAGAGGCTGCCCCAATGGGTTGCCCACTTGCTGCAGATTGGGGAGGGGAG